CTATGGCTCTACTTCTGCGTTTTAATTTTAAATAAATTTTAAATAGTAATGATAATAATAATTACTCTTTTAAGTTTATCTATATCAGAAGATAGTGACCTGGGTAGTAATAAAAATTATGTAAACGTGTTAAAACAACAACAGGTGTTGCTTTCTACCACTGTAACCACTTAGGTGCTTCTTCCCAGTTTCCTGTGATTCTCTCAAAGGTGGGCTCACCTGGCTTGTGTTGGTTCACATCACTTCAACTTGTCTGGAGTGTAGTGTTTTATGCATGAATAAGTGCCGTATTATTTTTAATTTTAAAGATGTTTGAGTTATATTAACATTTTTATTTCTGAAAATATTACATATTAAACCCTATTATGAACCAAGCTCTGTATTAAGTGTTTTACAAACTATTTTTCTTATTATTTCCTTTGATTCTCACATGCAAAGCAGCATTTCACTCCCAGTTTTCCTGTGGCCACGGTCCTCAGAGACCGCACTGTTATATGGTAGGTGAGCAATCCCAATAGGGTCTCAGTCTGAGATTTGCTTGTGTCTATATGCTTTGTTTTTCTCCATTATGATGGCCTGACTCACATAGAAACTGAAATAGTTTCCTAGGAATTATATATATATTTAAGACTTTTTATTGATTTTTATATATTTTATTGATATATTTACAGAGAGGAAGGGAGAGAGATAGAGAGCTAGAAACATCGATGAGAGAGAAACATCGACCAGCTGCCTCTTGCACACCCCCTACCGGGGATTGCCCGCAACCAATGTACATACCCTGGACCGGAATCGAACCTGGGACCTTTCAGTCCGCAGACTGACGTTCTAGCACTGAGCCAAACCGGTTTTGGCTTTTTATTGATTTTTAGAGAGAGAGGAAGAGAGAAACATCAATGTGACAGAGAAACATTAATTGGCTGCCTCCTGCATGCCCTCCTACTGGGGATCAAGGCCCCAACCCCAACACATGCCGTGACCAGAAATTGAACCAACGATCTCTTGGTGCACAGGACAATGCCCAACATCTGAGCCCTAGCAGCCTGGCTGAGAATGGTATTTTCTATAACTGATAGCTCACGCTCTCCTATACTTAGCCATTCCTGCTGCTTTGTTGAGTCACTCCATGGGTATTATAAAAAGCCTACTCCATGCTTTGCTGCATAGACCACATAATGCCCTAGTTCCAGGAGTGAATACAATTTTCCAAGTGATTTAGGAAGAAATTGACAGCTTTTATGGTACTTGTCCTCATTTTCAGGCCAGGAAAACTGAGAGATGTTGATAAATGTGTAAGTTATGTATGATTAGTGCTCCTAGACTTCGTGTTGTAGTTGTTTTCAGAAGGAAATTTATGTCCATTAGTGCTAGTTTACATAAGTTATTAGTATTGCCAAATCAATCTCCAATACACATGAAGAAGTATTTGTAAAAAAGCCAAATTATCAGTGGCATAAGAAGGCTGATTAATTGACATTTCCAGGTGCTATTACCCATTCAACTCAGAGATCCTAAACCAACTATAAATAGCCATATAGTAGTTCCTAAATCTAACTTTGTAGCACCTGGGATTATCTCCAGTAAAAAGAATATATTAAATTTTCCCCCAAGAAAATAATTTTTGGAAGTGAAATTGAACCAATACAGAAAAATATGCTTCCAGAAATTTTACAGTTTTGGATGGACTGCACCAAAGACTAAGGACTTGGTATGCAGCCTTTCCAACTTAGAATAGTAGGCATTTAGGGACTGGGTTCTTGGCTGATACTTCAGATTGTTTTCTCTCTCTTTAGTTTGTATATCCAAAACATACTTCTTTTTTCCCTGTCACAACATGCATAACAGGAAAGACCAATTTATGGTGGGAGAGTGAGTGGAAAGATGTTTTACAAGAGATTTTTTTTCACTCATTTTCTCTTATACTGAACCAGGATGATTCAGGAAGGCTGAAACCTGAGAAGGAAAGACATACCTTTGAGAGGAAATTTGCAAAAAAATGAGGTGCTTGTCTGTTGGCCCACTCATTTTATGACAGTCCAGTTTTCAACATTTGCACTTGACTTGAAATGAGACCATTAGCTAAGTTTCTAATTCTGAACTTTCTTTAATGCAGCAGAATTATATTTTCCCTGCTCAAAGGGAATCTTCATAGAACTCCATAACTTAAATTAGTTAAAAAACAGAACCATTCTTTCTTTTTTTGTTTGTTTAAATTTCTTTGTTGATTAAGTGTCACATATTTAACCTCATCCCCCCATTCCCATCCCACACCCCTCCCCATGCATATTCCCATCCCCCTGTTGTCCTTGACCACTGGTTAGGCTCATATGTATGCACACAAGTCCTTTGGTTGATCTCTCCCCTTTAGTCTCACCCTCCACTTCCCTCCCTCTAAGGTCTGACAGTCTGATCCATGCCTCCTTGTCTCTGGGTCTGTTCTTGTTCGTCAGTCTATGTTGTTCATCATTTCCCCTAGATGAGTGAGATCATGTCCTACTAG